TATATTAAAAAAAAGGAGGGGGGGAGTGAATTCTGGATGTGCAGTGAGCTGTTTATTTTTTTTCTTTTCACAGTTTTAAATTGAACATGACAAATCACTGTTCCAAACTAGCTTTAGTTAAGTGTGTAGTTTAGCCTTGTTAGTTTGAAATGTGAATTTCAAATTTGAATTTTAGATCAAGACTTTAAAGGTATGTCTACAGACAATTAATTTTGGATCGAGTGTGCTTTGGAGGTGAATCTTCTGATGCCCATGTCCATCCTGCTTTGGTTCTCATATTAAAGGGGTCCTAAAGCACACTAAATGCATTCCTTTTGGGCAAAACTAAACCGGCAAATATGTGCCAGCCACGAGGAGGTGTTCAGTTCACAGGACCACGACAGAGGTAGTTCAAAGGAAAAATCTCAGAACATGCATATAGTGGATACTGAGTGCTTGGGACCCGCTTTTTCACTCCACAGATCTCTTGCTATGCCATGCTACTTGCTAGTTGTAGCTGAAGAGTGTTCTAGAAGTGGACCTGTATATTGGTCGTGTTCTTAGCGCAAGCAGAGATATATTAGTGCAGAGGAAACTCTCTATCATTTCAAAAAAATGCTACAGTAAATGCAGGTAAGCTAGGACTTTCTAGTAGGTGTAGGTATTGCTTTGTTTTTCAGATGTTGTCTTTTCATATCCTTCAACAAGAAGTCTGCCGGTAGAATTCTGTAGCATGTATTTTGGTCCTGAGTTTCTTGAGAGCCAGGAATTTGTGTGCTAGTATCTACTTCTATCTCTGAACGCAGGGATTCCTTTTTTCCGTTACATAAAAATAATTTTAAAGGCTCCACTACTGTATGTTTTGTGACATACATGATGTCTCAAGTAATTCTGTGTTTGTAATCAAATTTGTATTCTCTGTTATAATCCTATCTACAAGTACCTTGTTTATTTTTGCAATATGAATAATGTTTTTTGTCTTTATTGTTTTTTTTTTTTTAACTTTCTCAAATTCTTAGGCACGACAAAATTGATGATAAAACAGGAACAGTGTCTTCTGTTCAGGTGCAAGTTCGTAACATCAAACTGGGAATAGCAACTTTCTGGAGCCTGGAGAAATTTGAATGCAAACTAGCAGCGATGAAAGAACTCTATGAGGTCAGTAACAACTGAAGAAAAACCACTAATAATCAGTAATATTTTGTCAAAGATAAGATTTTGATAATCATACAGGAGGAAAATCTTGGGATTTTTTTTGTTTATGTGATTAAACGTCAAGACACATGATTCTTTAATAAACACATGTACACACATTTGTCCATCACACAGAAAGAGGACAGTAGAAATCAATGACTGTTCATGTCATTTTGTGTACAAAGTGTGAAGTAGTAAAACAAGGACTGCTTTGTGGTTCCTCTGGCTGTTTAATTGTTCATCTGTGCTACAGGAAAACTTGACTTTTTAAAGGTATCACTTGAATTTTCATTATTACATTCTATCTGTTTTTCTTTGGTTCTGGTAAGTTAATATGCTACTGATTGCTTTTGTCTGTATGTGGTTTAGGTTCTTAAATGGAAGGTTTTTAAAGGCATTTTTCATAATTTCTTGTTTAATAAACTGACAATTAAGGTGCACATTAATCCCTTTTTCTAATTCTATTGCTTTTAATCAGACAAACTGGGTATTTTTGTACTGCACCTCTCTAACTGTGCAGTACTTTGTTTTGGAGCATATCATACTATCTTTTGTATCGAAGGGGAGGATGTAAAACAGAAGAAACAGAGAAGTGGGAACAGTGCCTACATTTGATTCTGTATCCCCAAAAAACTATAACCATCAGCTAAAATCTCTGTAATTACATAAAGGTAGACAGTGGCTCCAAATTATTGAATACAGATAAAATTACAGTATCACCTCTTATTTACTGGGAGAATGGTATTTTTTTATCTCCTAAAGAGAGAAGTGTCATAAGAAGTAAGTTTATCTTTATTGGCTCCATGTGAACAGATGGTGTTTTCATTGCACTCCATTGCATTTTTTTTCTCTGTTTTAGAGCTTGAAGACTTGAGAGCCCTAAGAACTACTTAACAAAAAAACCCCAACAGACTATCAGATCTGGTGGCCCTTAAAAGTACTTTCTTTTTAGTGGTGGCAGTAGAGTATTCTGGGATTTTCCAATCTCCAGGGCCGATCATAGCATTTTATTCGCTTTTTGGTTTCTGCCATATGAATTGCAAGTTGCTCTAGACTGCAGTGAAATAATAAAGGATAAAAGAAGGAAAGTTCTTGGACATGAGCAAGAGCTGGTTAACGTGAAGGAAGGATCCAAAGCAATCTAGTAGAATCGTAATGATCTTGTATTTTATGCTATACTAGTTTGGGGGTTTTTCTGATTAATACACAAAAGGAAAAAAATATATTTAAGACCAGGTTTTAGATTAAGTGAACAGCTTGTCTAAATTTATTCTGTGCTTGAATTTGTGATTCTCCTGATCATATAAACTCTTTTCATTCCAATATCTGTGTTATGTTTAGCCTGCAGCAGTATTGAAAAATGAGTAGAAATTGCTTCAAATAACATATAAATAAATATTTGGATGCTTGCTATTTCCGAACGCAAATCACGTTCTGGCATAAACAGCATACTTGAAGTTTGCAGAGGATGAAATCTCAACTCTTGGAGCACTGAAGGTGCTGGTAGGAAAAAATATGAGGGCTTTTTACATTTTGGAATGCTCCTTTTTTCTACCTTAGAAAATAATTGCATCTCATTAAAAAATTATTTTTTATTTGAAAGAATAACTTCTTCATATATGAGTATATATCTGACATAAAAATCTTTCAATATTTTGTCCAAAAAGGAAAAAAGCCATCAAAGAAAAGCCAGAAAAAAATTGAGGAAACACTCCTTTATGATATAACTCTGTAATACGCAAGTATTTCCAGTGACAGAAAAATATTACCATATTCACTACTAAAAGCTGTTTGGATCTTGGCAATATCAGAGATTGGACTCTATTTCCTGTGGAAAACTATTGCTAAAACTGTTACACAAATCCAGATGTAAAAATAAATAAAAATTGTAAATTATACACCCAGATTTTTAATAAATCTGGCATGTGGAGAGAGCTGTGAAAAAGTTTAGTACTTGGAAATCCTGTGTGTCAGATGCTGGGTAGCTAGGCGTCTTCACTAAATGTTTAGCTTGTTTTAGTTTGTTTTCAAACACACCTCAAGCTGGCTAGCAGTCAGTTATCTTCTAGATTATACATATCCTAACAAAAGAAAAAACATTAAAACTTCTGTTTTACTGTTAGTAGAACATGTTGTCTTCATCTATATGTTATATGCTTTATTATCACTCTATTTCTGTTTAACCCTCCTCCTCCCCTGTGTTTTCTTTATTTTTTCAGAGTAATGATAGCAATAAAGCTGCTGATGTATTTTATGACCCTGCTGATGAGTGGGAACCTGACCTTTCAGATGCCTCAGTTTCCTCTCTTTCCAGAAGAAGGTGATACTGATTTCTAGTTCCTTCATCTACACTTAAAGCAAAAAATAATTTGTCTCATCATCTAAACATGCTTCTGTGCCACTAACGCAGTCTTTTATTTATTAATTCTTCTTTCACCTTACTATAATGTCAAAATTTGAAATTGAATGAAAAGTTACGTATACATTTGCTTTCACTCTGGTTTAGGTTTTGTGTTCCATGAATTGAAATGTTTGGTTTTGTTTGCCTGATATCTGTCAATGTTCATTGAACGTAACGGGGAGAGAGATTCTTTTCTTTTAGAGTTTTTTCATGTTTTCACTCTCATCCTTTCCTAGAAGTAGAAGTTTCATGAAGAACAAGAGAATTTCTGGATGTTTGTCCGAGATAAAATTGCAACCAATTCAGAATATACAGACTTCCTATATATCAGGTACTTACTATACGGCATAACACCTTTCATTTCATACTGAGAATTTGAAACTACTACATGTATAAAACATAGGCACTTCTAATAGTCGTTAAAAAAAAAAAAAAGTGTGGGTTGGAAAACAAAATGAAAAATGTCCTGTTTATAATATCTTCAAGTTTATGATGTCAAGCTGTTAACAGTAGGGGGTTTTTGTATTTTTGATAATGCTTTCTTACAACAAAAACTTTCTAACTAGCACTTATGACCCTTATTTAAGGAATTTATCTAAAACATTACTCCACTTAACTATGCGGGTTAACTGGAGAATGATAGTTCATGTAACAAATTGCCTGAAGCTGAATCCTAATACAATAATTTGGAGACTTTGTTTGTTTGAGTTGTTGCTATTCATTCAACTACTAAGGTACCCCAAGCTTTTTGTAAGGTTTTATAAACTTTTTTTCTGAAATACTAGCTGCTTCAGTTTTCCAAATATTTTTATGCATGTAGTTATTTTAGATTGGCTGGATTTTGTTATTTTCTGTCTCTGTAGGTTCGATTGGTGAAAAAGATGGATTCATGTTAAAGAATTTTACTATGGAATTTGTCTTTGTACTAACTGAATCTAGAAATTATGTAGAACGTTGTATACATGTTTTTTCTGACTTCCTATCTTGAGTAGTTGAACATTCTGAAGAAGCAATACAAAATAGTCATTAAAGACATGCGGACTGCTCACTCATATGCAAGAAACTCTTAATAGATGTTTTGCTTTTACATCATACAGGTTCACAGAATAAGTCCAGCATATGCCCAAGCTTTTCTGAATCGTTTCTTCCTGGAATTTGCAAAGAATCTTTAAGTTCAGCTATAGATTTACTGGAACAGAATCATGGAGGAGGAAAGAGCATAGCAGATAGTCTCCTAACTAATTTGTTTATCATTTTCTCTGGAGTTTCTGCCATTTCAAAAGCCTATGAACAGCAAGATGAAAAATGTCAAGAGAACTGTAAGTCTCATTTTCATAACAGTTTAAAGTAAACATTACTAATGACTTGTCTTTCAGATGCACAAGCATTCTTATGTTTGCCTATCAGAAGAATTAACATTCCTACTTTCATTTGAAAGGAGACCTTCTGATAGATCTCTTTCTCTTGCAGTTTTCTCTCTTGATCATGCTGCTCAGTCGTACAGCATCAGAATTATCTCTGCTTTTGACCAGCTTGTGGTTCTGACCAAGCTCTGGCTTAACAATGTCCAAAAGTGTCCTGGATCTATAAAAGTTGATGAAGAAATAAAACAGGAAGTAAAGAACTTGGGAGGTTATTTACAGTTACTATTGCAGGTAAAGTATATTAACGAATTCATCTGTGTGTAAGAAGTTCTGTGCATTAATGCAATGTTTACTACAGACTTGTTAAAAACACTTAAATGTCCAACGTATGCAATGACAAATGGACACACCTAAGGAAGATGAACAGCAAAGGGTGCATTTTTGCTGGCTAAACTGGCACTTCCGTATGCTAGTTCAGAGTAATGCAGACCTTTCTGTGCCCAGGCCCTGACAATAGCATAGGTTCTTAAACATAAAAGGTGAAAAAAAACATGTAGTGACAACAGCAAATGCTAGTTTAGACTGTGAAGTGCTACTGCTTATAAACTTATAAACCAGCAGCTGGTAAATATTACTCTTGTTCATGCTACACCCTTGTGAAGAGTAGGGGTTTTTTGTTTGTTTGTTTTTGTTTTTTTAAACTGTGTAAGTATAATGATACCATTCTTCTCTGTGATTGCAAGGTATGGTCTTTTAGCTGTGGTAGATAAGCCATTGGAAGTAGGAAGGTGTAAAGCTGAAAATGCCTCAAGCTATTGTGTGCTACAAACTCTTGCATTATAGAAAGCACGTACTCTTTGACCAGAGATGCTTGCTAGCTTCAGTGAATGACATGCCTTTATTTCTCAGGGATGTTCTTCAGATATATCCTCAATGGTAACAGAAGCACGGAGCAAAGTAAACCAAACGGTAAAACAAACAATGAAATACATAGGACACTTGGCAGTAGTCACAAGAGCTGATATTTCCTTTTCTGAAGAGAACAATATTCCTGCAACTAGTCTACAGGTGAAAAAATGTTTATCAGAAATAGTGATTAGAAATAGTAATTTTAATGTTGACATCACATTTATTTTCACTAACTGTGCTCAGAAGCAAATTGTTACATGTAACAACTTGATTAACTGAATTAAGTACGTTCAGAGTTTATGTAATACTTCATTTTTATGGTGAAAATGGATATGTGTTAATACCCTTGAAATTGTTTTGGTTTGGTTTTTTCCTTAAAAAAACGCACTTTAAATATGTATAACTTCCACCTAGAAAGAGAAAGAAATACTGTGCTTTTAGGGTTGTATCTGCACTGAGATTGTACAAGTCTACCTATTTCACTGAAATTCAATACTTATTTCAGTAATCTGTGATTAAGTACCACGTAGAATTTTCAGAAATCTGAAGAAAGTTAGGAAAAGGAGATTAAAGTGCTTGAGTCCCTGTGGTCCAAGAATGACATGTGACTGAATAAACCAGCATGGAACAATTTGCTCAAAACAAAATTACGTTTCTAGCCCACTACGGAAAATCTGTTTTAATTCAAGGCCATATCAATTCCTTTAATCATTATGTTCTGAACCTTTTTTTTTCAAAGGACTTTGTACTTGCCATTTATGATGGAGTAGGCTCAGGGCTGGAGTTTCTCATTGATACTGTACAGGAAAAAGCAAGAATGGTGCAGAAAGAACTCGTGAAACAATATCCACAAAATGAGGTGAGATGAAAGTAAGATTAAAAACTACTACAGTGTCTTAAAGGCACTTCATCACGTCCTTTTATTTTTCAGCAATTCTGTCTAGAAAGTTTATAGTAGGAATACAGTTATGACTAGTAACGCAGGTTTGAGATGGATGGTAAGTGGGAATATTGACTACAATCTTGCAGAGTTTTTTAGTGTTTAGCCTTTCACCCATATGTAGACTGAACATTTAAGTGTATTTTATTTAGAATGATTTCTCCATGCATTGGAGGGCATTTTGTGTAAAACTTCAGCGTAACCATGAAAGAGAGGAAGAATATGAAAACTGGCGCAAAGGAGCCAGTGGACCTTTTATTCTGTATACTACTGTTAAGTTTGTTTGGTAAAAAGATTGCATATTTAATATGTTACACTTTATGGTCCTGAAAGTTAATTGTTAGTTTATACTGATAATACTAATCACCTCTGCTGTTACTACACTCACTGTTGTTGTCAGGAAGATAATTAGAAAGTTTGAAGACTTCATTTTGTCATGCATTGTTCTTACAGTCCTAGTCCCAAACAGCATGCTATCTAAATATTAAAATAGTTCAGTGTTATCTTTTAAGAGCTAGTCTTCTCACATGCTTAACGCTTGGGGTATGCTGAAGCACTTTGATGAATTGGGCACTTTAGAGGGAAATTGTTTGACTAAAGTAGCTATTTAATAGCACAGAAGTCAGAAATGTCCTGCTTGATTTCGTGTCATTCACAGAAGTCACAGCTGACCTTCAAATACCTTCCAGGCTGATAAGCAGCAATGGTATTTTAATTTGAGCAACTTCTTTATTACACTTTATAGGAAAGTTACAGCAAATTATTTATATTGTATTACTGAGTTGTTCCTGTCATCTTCCAGATTTATTGTGATATGAAAAGGAATTACATCAATGGGAAGCTTTTATCTCTCATAATAAGACCTCAATTTAATTATTCTTGTAATTTTAAGATGAGATATTCCTACTACCTCATAATAAACAGATGTGTGTGTACTTTTTCCCCCTTCTCTCACACATAGCAGTTTAGCAATTATATCTTATCAAATTGAACAGGTTTGGGGGTTGGGGTTTTTTTTCAGTATGCTGAAGCCAGAGTTGTTCTGGGGAGGAATTGCTCTTTCATGAAACAAACATACTATTATTGGTGTGTCTAGTGTATTCTGACACTTAAAGCAGAACAGACCTCATTACATGCTGAATTCAGTAGTGGGTTGTTTGGTTTTTTTTGCCTGGAAGGGCTTTTTTTAAGCTACAGCCTGTTATTTTGTGCTTTTACTTTGCTTAGGTGACAAACCGTGAGGAAGATGATACTATAGGGAGTTATGCAAAGTAGAGAATAAAGTATAAGGAATAAGCACCACAGTTAAAAATTTATTTCTGTGACACTATGAAAATTCCAGTAGGCAAGCTAGAGTACCCCTTAGAAATATGCCACTTTCTTAGTGGGTGAGATATTTTAACAGAAAGCCTGGCTGAATTCCAAGGAAATACTTTGGAAAGATTGAAATGTTCTTCAGCAAGGTACTAGATGTACATAGTGTACATGCGTCCTTAGCACCACAGTTAAAAATTTATTTCTGTGACACTATGAAAATTCCAGTAGGCAAGCTAGAGTACCCCTTAGAAATATGCCACTTTCTTAGTGGGTGAGATATTTTAACAGAAAGCCTGGCTGAATTCCAAGGAAATACTTTGGAAAGATTGAAATGTTCTTCAGCAAGGTACTAGATGTACATAGTGTACATGCGTCCTTTCAGTGTTGGGATATAGGCTTGACCTCTGCCACTTTTCCCCTGAATAAATATGTTTTATATCAGACAGCATGCAAGGCTGAAGGTGACAGTTTACCTGTGTCTGAGCAATCCTGTCTTCTGCCTCATCTGTTTTTATGTTTGTTCTTTTTCTTCAAAGTTGAGAAATTTTCAGAGCTGTGGTCCATAAGAAAATCTCCTTAATGAGTTGGGATATATAAAATACTTTATTTCTGAAGAATTTGTTACTACTCAAAAATCTGTAATACATGACCTGGGATAAAAGGTTCAAATCAGTTGGTTGGGATATATAAGCTTCACCTGCCACTTTTCCCCTGAATAAATATGTTTTATATCAGACAGCATGCAAGGCTGAAGGTGACAGTTTACCTGTGTCTGAGCAATCCTGTCTTCTGCCTCATCTGTTTTTATGTTTGTTCTTTTTCTTCAAAGTTGAGAAATTTTCAGAGCTGTGGTCCATAAGAAAATCTCCTTAATGAGTTGGGATATATAAAATACTTTATTTCTGAAGAATTTGTTACTACTCAAAAATCTGTAATACATGACCTGGGATAAAAGGTTCAAATCAGTTGGAGAGGAGTGATAAATTGCTTGTCTCAAGAAAAGGAAAAATTTCTTCCTACTCTGGTTTTCACTGTTGTCATTCTTAATCCTACAGATAATAGTGAAACTGTCCAAAATCTTTTATGTTCCTATCTGCTTGCTTAACTCCCAAAGTCTTCATGTTTCCAGCAAAAGGAATTGAACAGTCTGCTTTCCAGATAATGCTGTTCACTTGCAGCAGATTCCTACGTATCTGCAGGATTCCTGTATATGCTTGTTGCTGGTGGAACTAATGCGAAGTTGGGGAGAGAACAGCAGGGTATTAACTAAGAGATTACCCCTGCCGCTTAGAATGACAGCGATACAAAAATTACAGGACAACCTTTCCTTAGCGAATACTTAGATTTGCTCATTCGATCCTCTCGTATTAAGGGGTTATTTAAAACCTTGCAGATATAGTTAACGTTTTCTACCAGTTTACGTTTTATTTGAAAAGATGCATGTTATGTTGCAGAAAACTTTACTTCTGCTTTTGAGTATTTTTCTCATTAGTATGCCAGTGTTCATTGTTATCCTTCTAAAATATTAATGTACTTTTTGTCTTGAATCAAGTGTACAAAATAATTAAAAGTTTCTTTGTAGATTCAGAATCGAATAAAGGATAATGTTGTGGCATTAGCCAGATTCCTTGAAAATAACATCTCTTATTGCAGAAAGGTAAGAGAAATGTTTCACAAAATGTGTGCTTTGAGTCTGGGGTTTAAATTTAAAGGAGGCATTTAACAGAAGAGGAACTGAAACTACCTTCTGTATATTGACAATTGCATGATGACACTTCCTGTCTCAGTGGCATTCGTGTGATTGGAATGCTAACTTTTCTGGCTACTGCATTTCCACTCAAAATGATTTGATTTTAGTTTTACTTAAAGTATTTCTGGAGGTACTTTGTATCTTATCTGCCTTCTTTTTGTGCTCATCATGAACAGCCTAACCACCTGATTTGTTTCCTTTTAAGTTGAAAGCCTCAAGTTCAGTAATGCTAGTGTAATTGTGTTATAACTACTGCAATAGTTTATGGCCATAGTTATTGGTATTTTGAATTAAAAGCCAGGATAGATTATTTAATCTATCTTCTAAGAGCCAAACCTTTTCTGGATTTTACAGTTCTATTTGCATTTTTTTTTTCTTTCCTGTCAACAATCTGCACTTCTTTTTGGAGCTATCTTACGTTCTGTGACTTGGCATCGCTTTCCTTTTGTGTTTCAGCATTGGCCTGTTTTATGTGACTGAATCCATAATAGGCATATTTAATAGTTAATATACTGTCATGTATTTGATTCTCTTTCAATTGCTCTTTATTAATACAGAACGAAATAGAATCTCAATTACCAGAAGAAGAATCTCTATATCAGGAAATAAAGAAAAGCACTAACATTGCTGCGAAATATTTGGAATTGGAGCAGTGCCTAGCTGAAGTCTGTCAAATTGTTTCTTCTACATTACAAGGTATTTAGCTGGGTTATTACCTGTCTTGATGGTAACCTGTGGACTACAAGAGACCTGTGAAGCAAGAGGGAGGGAGGCTACTTGGTCTCTCTTTGCAAAATGCTGCATTTGATTCTTCTTGCTTTTGTTTTTCATAGGGTCGTACAGAAACACAAGCCCTCTCAGGAGTTTTGCAGAAAATATTTGTGTCATAGCTGGATATTTTAACAACTATTTCAGTTTATTTGCCTTGTCTTCTACTTCTGCAAACAACCCTATCCAGAAAATACCCATGCCTTTTATGAACTTGGATGAATTGGACTCCCTGGTTGATTCCCTTATTATGAATTTTGAACTTGAACAAGGACAGCCATCACTGAAGTCTCAAACTCTTTGTAATGAAACTACTGAGACTCGGGGAGGACAGGCTGAAACAGATGAAGTTGAATCTGCTTGGAAACAGAAGGGGATTCCAAAACACACCCATAAACTCCAGTCTTCACCTCCATTTCCTGCAGAGCTTTCACCTGGTAGGATACAGTGGGTATAAAATGCTATTATCAAGAAATTCAGGGAAACTTTCCCTTTAGATGAAGGGAAAGCAACATATCACAAAAAGCTAAAATTTATTGCTAATATTATTATTAAGTGGTATGAAAGTAAATGACATGATTGTATGAGGATAAGTATCCTAAATTTCACAAGAAAACATGGAGTTCCTTAAGGGGCTGTTAGACTTGAAAATATAGTGCCTTGTTTTAATAAAAGTCTATTATTACCTAAGCCTATAAGAAATAATTTAACACAGTAAGTAAAAAAATCTATTGGAGATAATATGAATGGAGAAACTAAAAACTGTTGGGGAATAACCAGGAAACACAGTAAACGCTTGGTAGGACACTTGCATCTCTTCATCTTAAACCTTTGATTTGGGACTCTTGTGTAGCAGTGGAAGGAGATTCCTTTGAAGGGCACTTGAAACATACATTTATGTTGCATTCAGTTAGATAAGATGACTGCCTTCCTATCTTAGACGCTTGAAAGGTAGATGATGTGGGTACCAATTTTTTTAACACTGTTGCCTCACCTCTGCTGCATTATGATCTAGTAGTGCTACTGCAACTTAAAGTGGTTTTTTTACGGCTTTCACTTTTTAAAATGTCAACCTCAATTTTTTTTTTTTTTAAACAAAGCAAAAACTTTCATAGTTTTCCCCTACAGAAGTAAATACAGAGATGGTAAAAGTGTTGTACAACCTTATTTGATGAATGCTTTTTTTAGTGGTTTTGTAGTCCATTGAAAAATCTGGGCTTAAAGTATCAATGATGGTGCTCTTCAACTTGATCTAAAGTAAGTTCATGTTGAGTGTTGTTGCTAGCGAATTATCTTTTGATTGCTCAGATCACTTTCAGTACTATTCATAGTGGATTAGAAGCGCATAGCTCTTCCTAAATAATATGTAAGTCATCCCATGGGGTTGTAGAGAACTTTCCCAATCAACTACTTGTGCTTTTTACTGTAGTCATCGTTTAACCTCTTACCTTTAGTCTGCTGGCTGAAGCCAGTGAAAATTAACAGCAAGGATGAAAATGAATTTGAATTTTTATTCTTTAATGCTGGGTTCTAGGAGGCCTGGACCTAGCACATTTTACTCACAGCAGTGCTGAGAAATTTATAAGCTAAAACCTAAGTTTTTTTTTTCCCATGTATCAAAGCTTCCATGCCAGATATTCATAGCTATCATCTTTCCTTCTGAGGGAAGATGCTCAACATCTTGAGAATTTCAGTGTTTGAGAACGTCAGGCTCTTAGAACTATTTTCTGTGAAAAGACTACAGTAAAGAGAGTCAATCATCCTTTTCCTTTGAAAACTTTCACACTATATTTATAATTGATGCTGTTTGGCAATTTTGTGCTTTTCTGATTTGGAGGAAACAGGGAAAGGTGACTATGCTGAACCACATATATTTTTCTTAAGACTAGTATACCTTAATACTTTGTCAAAAAATGTCTTGCAGTGCAGTCCTGCCATCAAAAATATTCAACAATTTTTATTGCAGCTAATAATTTCCTTCTCACATGAGGTGTGATGTTGCTTAATTGCTTTCCTACTGTAAAGGCCTTTACAAGTCTGCTCAAGGGTTAACAAAGTATATTCAGTTGTTCAGATTTTTATGCTTTAAAAGTGAAGAGAAACCTGGTATATTTCTACTTCTGTAAATGTAGTATTTTGTATTTGGTGAAAGTTTTAAAAACATAACTAGTTCTTCTGAATCATGTATCTAAGCGAGCATTGTAAAGAGTAAAACTAGATTGTGTAACTGATCACCAATTTTTACAACTTTAAGTGTAAATTCCGTGTCAATTTTCTTCTGTATACAGTTGTTTTTGGGACCTTCGTCACTGAGAGTACTGCTTCTTTGCTGAAAGTATTGTAGTGTAAAAATTTGAATTAATAAGAAGTGTTTTCTGTAGCTCACAAGTGAAAAAACAAATCAAAAAAAAGACTTTACCTAAGCTTCTTCCTCTACTAAGACACTTAACAGCACACATTTAGAGGCTGAATACTCATGAACTAATCTATACCTATTAATGTCCCAATACTTAATCCCTTCCAATTTCTGCTAATAAATATAGGGGTGTTATGTCAAGTCCCCATTGCAAAATTATTCAAGTGTGTTACTGGTGTTCCACCAGCCCAGATGATTAATCACGTTTGCGTTTGTTCTTGTATTTAATGAGAAGCATTGCTCAGAAAACATCTTGGGTTTTGTAGTTCTGTGCGTTGTTATGAGAATTTTTTTGTCTGTGTTTTTTGTTGTTTTTTTTCTTTTTCTTTCTAAATTGGAAAGCCAAGTTCTTCACAAACTTGGAGCTCAAACTAACTTTCAGCTTTTAGCCTTTCTGAAACTCAGGAGAAAGAGACCATGCAAACAAATGGGTTTCTAATAGAGTTTTAACTGAGGCATTGGATGGGCACCCTTAATCGTATCAAATTTAGCTTTTGCAGGATGAGTGAAAATGTTGCCAATAGCTTCCTGCTGCTTGGTTGGTTTTTGTTTGTGTTTGTTTTCGGTTTTTTTTTCCCCCTCCATGCTAACTAACCATGTCTAATCAGTCAACTAATCAGTCTCTCTCTTATTCACACTGTTAATACTATATTCACATTTTAGAGTAGTATGTTAACAAAACCTACTTCTGCTAGTGTTTTCTTCAGCTTGGTGCCCTTGTTACAGTTATACATCATTGAAGTACTTCATTCTTACGATATATACGGTGACTATACATCATCAGAGTAAGCTAGTGCTCTCATAACATATTGCATTAATACATCAACAAGCCTAGCTGAGGCTCCAGTAATCTATTGGTGTAATATACCATAAGGTAAGGTATATTTATAACTATAGGCTAGTCCATCTATAAATTATGGCTGTCAAGGAATTGGGATCATAGCAGGCAGATTTTGGGATGGATTTATTTGAGTGGTACGTTATTTTACTAGCCTTTCCAAGGAGTTGGAGGTAGGTGTGGGTTAAGCCCAGGACAGCAGAGGAGTTGACATGGCTGAACACAGTATCTGCATCACCTGCTAGGCATAGTGGTGAAATGAAGTAGACCCTAATATTGCTGAGATAAAGGGCTGTGCAGTACCGTCCAGGTATCTTCACCATCTTGCATTTTTGCAGATCTGACTGTAAAGTCAGGGTCTGGATAGCTTCTGGCAGATAGTGGTGATACACAGAAGAATCTTCTTGTGATAGGACCTTTGGAGTTTCTTCTAAACCATAAACTAAAGCAGACACCAAAACAGTGCCACTTAAGTAGAATTTTCACTTTAGTATGTCACAAAGTTAATTACTTTTGCAGGAATATATATTGGTGTTGTAAATATCTCTGATGGGGGAATTAAGATAGGAGTGGGATCACAGCCAGTGTTTATTAAAACATCTTTTATTAATTAACTGCTGTTAATAGAATTAAGACGTTTACTTCCAGCAGATAACTGTTCACACAGTACATTCACTTATTCCTTCATACTTTACTTGCACCCACATGTAAAAATCACTCATAGCTACAAGATTGGAGCAACAACTGTGAGCTGCTGACTCTGAAGTGGAGGCTCATGTTGGCTTACCCATGGGAATCTGATGTACTATACCCCTCGGCATGCATGCTTCCTCTCTTTGGCTAATGTTTTCTGGTTGCTGTTTCTCCATCCGCAGCCGTAGGTATCAATAGAGCCCATTCACACACAGTTGCATAGACGGGGCTTTTATGGCTTTGGCTGAAGCTTGGTCAGTATAGTGGCTGATGTCATGCTTCTGCTAAGAGCGCTAAATTTGGTCTTGAAAGCTTTTCTCTGGGGTTCTCAAACCTACAGTCTTCAGCTCTGTGTCCCTGAAAGAAATGTTGAGTGAACGCTCAAGAACGTGCACAGGGCGGGAGTGGGAAGTGTTACGAAGAAATATTTAGAGACCTGAATGGGATGTATTGTTTACTGAAGTTATGAGGGCTTTACTTTGTTATATGCATTGATGCAATCTGTAGTTTGTGGGTTGGTGGTTGTTGTGATGTTTGTGTGTTTTGGGGTTGGTTTTTTTGTGGTTGGTTGAATATCTCTGATGGGGGAATTAAGATAGGAGTGGGATCACAGCCAGTGTTTATTAAAACATCTTTTATTAATTAACTGCTGTTAATAGAATTAAGACGTTTACTTCCAGCAGATAACTGTTCACACAGTACATTCACTTATTCCTTCATACTTTACTTGCACCCACATGTAAAAATCACTCATAGCTACAAGATTGGAGCAACAACTGTGAGCTGCTGACTCTGAAGTGGAGGCTCATGTTGGCTTACCCATGGGAATCTGATGTACTATACCCCTCGGCATGCATGCTTCCTCTCTTTGGCTAATGTTTTCTGGTTGCTGTTTCTCCATCCGCAGCCGTAGGTATCAATAGAGCCCATTCACACACACTTGCATAGACGGGGCTTTTATGGCTTTGGCTGAAGCTTGGTCAGTATAGTGGCTGATGTCATGCTTCTGCTAAGAGCGCTAAATTTGGTCTTGAAAGCTTTTCTCTGGGGTTCTCAAACCTACAGTCTTCAGCTCTGTGTCCCTGAAAGAAATGTTGAGTGAACGCTCAAGAACGTGCACAGGGCGGGAGTGGGAAGTGTTACGAAGAAATATTTAGAGACCTGAATGGGATGTATTGTTTACTGAAGTTATGAGGGCTTTACTTTGTTATATGCATTGATGCAATCTGTAGTTTGTGGGTTGGTGGTTGTTGTGATGTTTGTGTGTTTTGGGGTTGGTTTTTTTGGTTGGTTGGTTGTTTCCTTTAATGTCCTCTCTTCTTCCCTCAGGAAAATATTCTTCAGTCAGATTTCAGGTAAAAAGTAATTAGAACTTTATGTACTTGACCCATGGATTTTAATTGACTAACATAAAAGAAAAAGAGAGGGACTTTGTTTTAATTTTAAATATGAAGTGGGGAGGTGGGGTATTCAGACTTCTGCACCCTAGTTTCATTTGAAAATACAAAAC